ACTCAGGAGGGCCAGCCAGAAAGCCTGCTTCACAAACAAGTGGGCTTGAAGGGGATGGAGGGGTAGGGACTTCGTATCTGTCATCCAGTCTCTAAGGAACCGTGTTTGTGGATTCCAACTTTAATCGCCATGACTGCTATGAGGCTTTATTGATTGTTTGGGACAGGGTCTTGCTTTGCAAACAAGGCTGGTTTCAAACTTGTCACCCTCCTGCCTCAGCCTCCTGAGAGCTAGCATTACAGGCATGGGCTGCCTTTCTGGGTTACAATCCCTGATTTTACAGATGAGGGAGTTTGGAGCAAAGGGAATTGGCTATTTGCCCAGGACCAAGGAGCTGGTAAGGGAGTTGACTGTGTTCTGAGTGATTCCAGATGTACCTCAACCCTGTTTCCCACAGGGGAAGCTCAGCTCTCCAGGGAGGATCCGTCAGGTCCTCTAGTATCAGGAGTAAGAAATGGGGATGTCAGTCAAGTCTACCTGATCTCCAACCAGCCAGGGCAGGCTCCCAAGGGGCTGAGTCTGGATACATGCACTGGCAGTGGGTGTGGGTTAGTCTTCTCCAGAACACTTGTGATGTGGCGTCATGAGTCTAAGTGATTCTTGGGCTGGTCAGGACTTAGTTCTGGGCTTCAAGGCAGGGAGCTCTAGAGGGTGGGTCAGGCCAGGTCCCAGGCGCTGAAGCCAAGCACAGAAGCAGAAGATGGACGAGGGGGGACAGTCCTCTGCCCCACAGTCTGTCATCTGAGGTGTGTATCTGGCATAGTCACAGTGGGAGTCTTTCTGAAGGGAGTTGGGTCTGGCCGTCACAGCCCCTCTGCAGTATGATGGTGACAATCCCCTGTCGACGTCATAGTGAGTACTGTCTTAGGTACCAGTGTGTGGTGCTGTCTTCCCTTGGACAGTGGTACGTTCTTACCCTCACATGCGGGAAGCCAGGCCTATGGGAGTGCACTTGTTGGGGGCCAGGCTTGGGACATGTTTGACTACTCAAACCCATGCCGCCCGGACACAGCTCTCAATATGGAGAATGAATAGGTCTCCCGCTGTAGAGGTCTCTCGCTGCAGGGCCTGGCCACCCAGCCCTGCACCCGGAGCCAGTCACCCTGACTGTGTTTGCGCTTCCCACCTTGTATGTTTTTGCTGAGCGCTGTGGCCCACGGACAACACTAGCTCCCTGTCAGCTCACAAAGGGCCTCCTCATTCCTTTTCCTCTCTTAGTGCAGAGCCCCCACCCTTGTGCCAGGATGGGCCTGGGCCGCCAAAGGGGCCTACCTCACAGCAAGAATGAGCTGCTTCTGTTGTGTTTGGCTACTACTGTCTTGAGGACTTAGCTATTTATGACACACCCTTTGGGGTCCCTCTCCCCATGTTGGCTCCTGCCACTGTTCTGGGTGTCAGTAGTAGTTCTTGCGCCCTTTTCCCAGGGTGATTTGCTGGGCAGCGCCCTCTTGTGGCAGATGTCAGAAGCCCAAAACTGCAGATGCCCTGGGGAGATCAGGACTCTCACGGAAGAGCAGAGCACCAGAGACCAGAGCGCCCTCCCTGCCCTGTCCAGGCTCAGTGCTGCAGGGCTCCAGCATGCCCCCATGTGGCCACTGGGGACAGGGCTGCTTCCAGGGGAGGGCGGGGTTGAGGACAGGTACTGACAGTTGGTTTAGAGGGGTTAACTTGGGTAGGGGGTTAACCTGGGTAGGGGGTCTTATCGTCAGCACTCGTGAGTTGACACCACGAGGGGAGTGGGGGTAGGCTTTAGTAAGCTGGGAAGGCTGAGTCCATGCCTACCTAGTCCAAAGTTTGACAGCCTGCTTGCAACCAAGAGTCAGCTTCTAGAAGCTTCTTGGAAAAACAGGTCTGGGGAGGAGATGAAGCAGAGATGAGGTCAGAGAGAACCGAACCCATTGTGACTCCCAACTGGATCTTGGAGAATATAGGCAAATACACGTGGGGTGTTTGAGGGGGATGGCTATGGAGGCTCTGGACTAGGGGAGTCCAATCTGTGGCCCCGTGAGCGTCATGCACCCAGAATAGTAATGAATCCTGCTCAACCCAGAATCATAGCTATACTCAAAATGTGAGATTTGTCTTCGATTTTTTTCCTTGGGTAACTTGACTACATGTGAACCCGCTGTGTTGTGATGTTAAAAGTTTGGTCTGGACCCACTTCTGCTGGAGGGTGAGTGGGAAGGGACCGCTTCTCCAGGCCTGGCTGTGGAGTGCACACAGCTCAGGATGGAAAGGAACTGTGGCCTCCTGTTCTTTGGGCAGACTCTGCAGAGGCAGTGGACGGCTCCTTTCCCTGTGGCAAATGTGTGGGTGGAACCTTTGAAGAACTGGCCTGTGGGCAGGGATCGCAGTGTTTAGGTCTGTGCCGAGTCTGCACTCAGCTGCCAGCGCTTCCCTGAAGTGGCCTCGTGTTGGGTGGCCGCCTGGGAGAATTTACACTGCGAGAATGGGCAGGCACTGCGCATCCGAACCTTTGCTTCTTTTTATCTAAAGAGTGGTTTTGCAGACACGCTGCAGGACCATCTGCTAAGGGGGAAAGTCCTCTGTGAACGCGAAATGCCTAATCTGTCTTGTTTCGGCCTCCTTGCCTGAGAGTTTGAGTCTTGGTGTCTGTGGTGCCCACTCTGTGGCATGCCAAAGAACAAGGCCATGAGCGTGTTCTGCAGACTCTGGCGCGGTGGAGTGTCACCACCTCCCTGCCTCTGTGGGGACCAGAACCTCCGGAAGCAGGTTTGGAAATGCCGACATGTAGACTTAGCTCTGTAACGAGTGCCATGTGCTCTGACTGCAACATTTTTCTCTACCTCTAAGAGGGATCTGGGTGCAAAGATCTTTGGGGTCACTTCTAGGTCCAGCATCCTAACCCCCCTCCCACCTGTGTGCTGGCTGTGTCTTCTCAGTGAGAGGCTGGTCTCCATCTCTCCTCGTTTTTGCCCTCTGGCAAGGGACTCTAATCTGGTCCGGTGGTCTGACGGGCTGCCACTCTCCTGATGTATCAGGCTCCTGGGTACACAGTGTTGCCCTGCTGTGGCTTCAAGTCGATGCCTCACAGGCATGGGGGATGAATGTGGATCAAACCTGAGCCCCTTGGCCGTCCCAGCCTCTTTGCATTGAGGGTGCCTCTGCCCACTACAGTACCCGAGCCTCAGGCCGCCCTTCATCTGTCTTTTCTTATCCCCTGCACCCAGGATCTGCCTCCATCTGGAATGCTCAGTCTCCTGAAGTTGTCCTCAGCTTGCCATCCTTAGATCACCTCTACCCTTGCCTGCTTCAGTGTCTTGCTTGGCTCTGGAATAATTGTCTTGCCTGGCCCTGGACTGAGCATCTTGCCTGGCCTTGGATTGAGTGTCTTGCCTGGGCCTGGACTGAGTGTCTGGTCTCGCCCTGGAGTGAGTGTCTTGCCAGGCCTTGGATTAAATGTCTTGCCTGGCCCTGGACTGAGTGTCTTGCCTGGCCCTGGACTGAGTGTCTTGTCTGTCCCTGGACTGGTGTCTTGCCTGGGCCTGGACTGAGTGTCTTGCCTGGGCCTGGACTGAGTGTCTTGCCTGGGCCTGGACTGGTGTCTTGCTTGGGCCTGGACTGACTGTCTTGCCTGGCCTGGATTAAATATCTTGCCTGGGCCCTGGACTGAGTGTCTTGTCTGTCCCTGGACTGAGTATCTTGCCTGGCCCTGGACTGAGTGTCTTGCCTGGGCCTGGACTGGTGTCTTGCTTGGGCCTGGACTGTCTTGCCTGGCCTGGATTAAATATCTTGCCTGGCCCTGGATTAAATGTCTTGCCTGGCCCTGGACTGGTGTCTTGCCTGGCCCTGGACTGAGTGTCTTGCCTGGCCCTGGACTGAGTGTCTTGCTTGGGCCTGGACTGACTGTCTTGCCTGGGCCCTGGACTGAGTGTCTTGCCTGGGCCTGGACTGACCTAACCTCCTCACCGGTTTTGTGCTTCTGATCCAGGTCAGAGCCCCACTGCACCCACTGTGGCCTCCGTTGGGTGCTCAACCCTGCACATACCCTCCCTTGCACGCAGGCATCTTGCACACACATCCTTCCCACCCACTGGTTCCTCTCACATTCAGGATCTTGCTAAGCCCTGAGTCCCTGGGACTCCCTGCTCCGTCTTGTACTGAGCACGGCTATCTCTCAGCCTCTCACCCCAGTCCACCCCCACCCCCAGAGCAGCCCTCACCTGCCTCTGCCTGAGGCCATCCTCTTTCTGCCATCCTCCCCAAGGGCACTGGCGTGGGCTGGGTGAACACAGTCGCTTCTTGTGCCCCGAAGTTACAAACACCAGAGTTAGGACCACTTTTCCTTTTCTTTCTTTTTTCTTTCTTTTCTGTGGTTCTTAGGATGAGTCCAGGCCCCTGTGCATGTGGCCAGGGGCTCTACCCCATAGCCCCAGCCTGGACTGTCATGTTCACTATGTGCCGCTGAGCCCCAGCCCCACCAGCCTGGCATGGAGTAGACTCCTGTTTTGTGTTTCTAGAAGTTAATGGCTTTCTTCTGCTCTGGCCAAGGGTTGTGACTGCATGGGACGGGGAAACAGGGTGATCTTGTCACTTGTGGTGCTGGGATGTCCTCAGAGTGAGGTTGGCTCCCTGGGCATTCTTCTCAAGCCAGCCCTGTGTGAGGGTGAGGTCCTCTCCACTGCAGCTCTGGGTGGTGGCAGGAAGGAGTGGCTGACTTTGGGTGGAGGCATCTGGAGGGTGATGCGGACAGGATCTGGTGGCCTGTCTGCTTTGTAGAGATGTCCTCCAAGCCTGTGCTGAAGGGATCTCAAGAGTAGTACTCTGGCTTCCAGGCTGGAGGGGGTCACTAGCATGGTGGAATAATCCAGAAGCTGCATTCTGTACTATACTAGAGTGGGGAGTGGGTGAAGTTGGGGAGAGGAAGGGCAGAGGGCAGGGAGGTGTCCTTCAGACTGAGAAGTAGGAAGCAGAGTCTTGGCTTCATCCTTTGAGCCTCCTCGGCCTTCTGGGCCTCTGAACTTGACTGAGTGGGCGTGTTATGTATTGGCCAGAACCATCAGGATCCCCAGCAACATCATCATCAAGTGGAGCCCACCACTGAGTGGGAGAGCGGACCCTGGAAAGACAGAAGGCTCGGTGAGAGATGGAGAGGATTGTATCTCAACTTCTTGGGCTTCTGGAGGACCAGGGGCCCCAGCTGTCTCCACAAACCCCCAGGTTTCTCTCAACAATCCCCTTGGGGTGTGTACGGTGGCCCAGTTATGGGCTTGCAAACTCACGGTGTGCCTACGCCAGCATGGGCCTCAGAAGAGGGGCGTCCCTGCCTCACCTGATTGAAGCATGGGTTGCAGGGTGCCAGGATGCCCATCATTGGGCTCGGGAACAATGCCAAGCAGCTGACACATGAGCTCGTACACATGGATGCTCTCAAAGGGCTCCACCTCCAGGCCTGCCTTGAAGCTGGGACCCACAGCCCGGAAGATGGTCTTCATATCCATGTTTTGGTTGTCGAAACCATGCTCACCCTTGTTGAACTGGACGTTCACTCTCTGCAGGGAGGGCCAAGGATTCTGGGTCATAAGTGGGGACCACGCTGTCCCCAGTACCTCCTTATCAATCTTTTCCTGCTCCCCCATGGGTTGGCCCCTGTGTGAGTGGATGACCTTAGGGAAAGTTTGCCATGTGTGGTAAGATGGCCTCTAGATTCCTATGAGTTCTGGGACCCCAAAGATGAAGTCTCACTGAATAACTGTGGACCAGGTGAAGACCCCATGACACTGAGTGGGGTAGAGATGTTAGCCTGCGTCCATGGTTCAGGGTGTGCCCATTTGTGCTGCATCTAGGATTCCCTCTCTGGTATGGGCTCTGTTTTCGGTCCTTTCCCCCATGATCCATGCCACCCTTGAGCCTGGGCTTCTCACACTTACCTGAAGCCTGTGCATGTACACACACACACATACACACACACAACACATACTCCTGTTGCATAGTGCTGAGTGTGCCCCATAGGTGCCTGACACCCACTAGGGGGTAGATAGAATCAGGGTGCCACCCACAAGCCGTACAGCAGCCCACTGACCCCATGGATGACGTAGCCAAGGTCACTGTACATGAGCAGGGACGTGATCCTCGAGTTGTTGGCGTAGTGGAAGCTCTTGGGGAAATCTTCCTTCTTGTACACGTGCAGCCTGGGGTGGGCATCCTTGAGGACGCTGTACACCTTCTCCAGCATCCCTTCCTTGGGGATCAGCATCCCATTGGGCCCATAGTCTAAGAGCTCGAACTCGATGTCCTTGAAGGTGAAGTTGGGGAACTTGTGGAACTCCACCAAGTCGTTGGCTTTCTGATTGACTGTCGTCATGCCGTGGTCAGATGTGATGATCAGGTTGAGGCTGTCTGAGAGGCTGTGGCGCTTGATGCTGTCCCGGAGGTAGCCCACAGTCCTGTCAACCTGTTTCACTATGTCCTTCCTCTCCTGGGACTCAGGGCCGTATTTGTGGCCAGTGGAGTCTGGCTCCCCGAAATAGAGAGTGACTAGGGCCACGTTCTCCTCTGTGAACCACTTCATCACGGTGTCCACATTTTCCCTCCACTCTGTCTCGTTTTTGTAATTGTGGAAGATTCCTTCCTTCCGGCTCATGGTCACGGCCTCTCCTTGGTAGGTGACGTTCCCTCCAGGGTAGAAGAAGGAGCCAGTTTTTAAGCCCTGCAGGGTGAAGTAGTGTAAGCTTTATGACTCCTGTCTTGTCTTTCCCCCTCTCCTGTGCCTGCCTGCTTCTCTCTCTGCACTCCCTTATCCGCTTTTGCCTGCTGCCCTGAGGCCTTTTGCTTCCTGAAGTGTACCTTCTCTCACAGATCCGGGGCAGGGACAGTTCATCTAGAGGACAAGCACCCAGTGTCATCAAGTCCTAACTGAGACTGTAGATGGGAAACGTCCCCATATGCCACGCCCTTCAGCATCCTCGCCGCGAGCCTCCGCTGTCTCGTGGCCTCCATTCATTGTCTTCTCCTCCGTCCACTTTGTCCCTACCACCTGCTCACCCACCTTCCTATAAATCCTTGCTGCTCATTCTGTCTGTCTGTCCAACCCCTGTTAACATGGGTCCAAGGTTCCTGATCAGTTTCTCCTCCCCCACTCCCTCATTTTTTCCTCTCCTTATCAGGGGAGGTTGAGTTCTCACTTTCATTTTTGGCTCTGGAGCTGGAGGAGCGAGTGCCACAGGACAGGAAGTATCACTTGGGTGGAAGTCGAACCGTGAACCATGGGGCCGTGGGTTGTTCCTGCCTATGAGGAAACCCTCCCTTTGGCATCACTGACTAGAAGCCTCCCCTGAAGAATCCCCTGGGGCAATGCGAATCGGGGCCACTCTCATCTCACAGTACACCCCGCCTGTTTAATCTTTGGCCCTTTCGCATCCAGATGTCCAGTGGTGGGACTGGAAACAGATCAAGACTCTTGGCTCAGCACTTTCTTATTGAGTCAGTTAGCTACCCAGAGTCAATGTGATCCTCCTCTCCCGGCCAAAGGGCCTGAGGGCGAGACCTGCCTCCCCTCCTCCACCCCTCCTCTCCCTTCTTTCTCTCCTCCATCCCTCCTCTCTTTTCTTCTTCCTTCCCTCCTTCCTCCCCTTTCCTCCTCCTTTCCTCTCTCCTTCCTTCTTTCCCTCCCCCTCCTTTCCTTCCTTCTTTCCCTCCCCCCTCCTCTTCTTCCTTCCTTGAGAGGGTCTTGCACAGCCCAGACTGGCCTCAGACTCACTGTGAAGCCAAGGACAACCTTGTCTTCAGATCCTCTTGCAGGTGTACACCACCACACCTGGCTTTCTGCAGGGCTGAGGACAGAACCCAGAGCTTCCTGCACGCAGGGCAAGCCCTCTGCCATCCCAGGTACACCCTTCGTCCTGGTCTCCCTGGAGACCATAGCTGAGCCTGGGATGGCTGCCTGCACGGTCCTCGGGGGTTCATTGAGCAGCTTCCTATGCTAGAAGGCAGGATGCCCGTGCCTGCTGTGGATTCCCTATGACCATGGCCTCAGTTTCCCCATGGGCGGGCCGTCTTACCTGCCTCTGGGCTGTGATCCAGATGGGTATGCTGCCGTTGTCCCACCAGTTCGTGATACCCAGCGTGGTGTGGTAGGGCCACCTCACCTTGGTGGTGGTGTTGTAGAACATGTTGTGAACCACCCCATGGTTCTCAATGTATTTGCCTGGGAGGGGAAGCAGAGGGCAGGCTGTGTGTGTGGAGCAAGCCTGGGGAAGGCTCGTGAGCCCACAGTCGCCTGAAAGCCCTATGGCGTACCAAGCCCTGGGACACCAGAGAAGACTCCTCAAGGGCCTTTGTGTGGGCTCTGGATCCTGCTGGAGGCCCCCTCCTCAGAGCAATGACCTCTCGCTTTTGACCAGGGTGCCTCCCATTTGACACCCCCCCCCCCCCATGTCTCAGGCTCTTTCTATTCCCAAGCCCCGTCCTGAGGCTGGCACTCACCAGTGACCAGTGTAAAGTGGCAGGGGCTGGTCAGGGTGACAAAGGCGGGTGTCATGTATCGTGCCTTTACCCCTTCCTGAGCCATGGCGTCCAGATTAGGGGTGTCCACATCTTGGTCATAGTTCCAGCGGAAGCCATCAAAGGACACGAGGAGTAACTTGTGTGGCTTTTGGAGAGGCGCCCCAGTCCCACAAGCCAGGATAGCCAGAGCCACAGTGAGGAGGACGGCTGGGTGTTCCATGATGGGCTCTCAGGTGAATAGGCACACAGACAGCTCAGGCCAGGAGCGGAGCAAAGTCCCAGGGTCAGTCAGGCCTCTTATCCTGTGCATCTCCAGAGATGGGATGTCACCAGTCTAGACTTTGCACATGAGGGCTGTGTGAGCCTGGCATGGCCTCAATCTCTAATGGAGTCCCCAGTTCCTCCTCCCTCTGCCTTCATCCTCCAGTGTCCTTCTCATGGAGGAGGGGGCCCCACGTCTCTGAGCCTGGAAGCTTGGCTCTCATGGGAACTGCCCTCCACCCTGGTCTTCACAGCAGCTCCAGGCTCCTCCAGTCTCAGAGGATGCCCAGCTAGGGGCAGAGTGGGCGGGCCTCTGTCTTAGGGTTCTACCACTGCGAAGAGATGCCATGGCCATGAAAACTCTAATAAAGGAAAACATTTAGTTGGGACTGACTTACAATTCAGAGGTTTAGTCCATTATCGCCATGGCAGAAAACATGGGGACACACAGGCAGACATGGTGCTGGAGAGGGGCTGAGAGTTCTCCATCTGGATCAGCAGGCACTGGGAAGAGAGAGGGAGCCACTGGGCCTGACCTGAGCTTCTGAAACCTCAAAGCCCACTCCCAGTGACACACTTCCTCCTACAGGAAGGCCAGACCTTCAACAACGCCATTCCCTATGAGCCTACGGGGTGGGGGCCATTTTCATTCAGACCAGATCTGGGTCTGCTCTGTCTGTTCTTTGCCTCCAGCAATGGCACAGACGTCAGGGATCTGCTCTTGTGACCAGACCTTCAGCTCAGTCATCAGGTGTGAGGCTGGAGGAGCAGGGCCCTGCGTTACTCAGGGCGTGGCATTCACAGCACACTGTCCTGGGTGCAGGGGGCATTTGCTGAACACACAGGAGCTCAGGCACACTTCTCCTTTTCTTCTGAGGACACTCTTGGTGCTCTGAGGCTTGATCCCAGGAACCTTTGGTCTGGGGCTGGGTAGAACAGACACCAGCATGAGTGACAGTTGTCCTGGGCAGCCAAATCAAACACGGGCTCAGGCCTGGAGGACCGCTCTCTGCTGATGGCTTTGTGGCGCTGTCCTTGGCAGGCTCGGTTATTCAGGCAGCACCGCGTTCTCTTCAGTAGACCGTGTGAGTGAATGACCGATTGTGTCTCCCCCAGGAGCAGCATGGTCTCCAGCTCCTGGTCCAAGGCCTGACACGTGGCAGACATCCAGTAGAGGATGCTCCCTGGTTCTGCACAGCGTTAAGGTGGCCCTGTCTGGACTGCTTTGCTCTCTGCTTCTCTGGTGGAGTTGGGTTGGTGCTGCTAGGGACGCTGGTGCCCTAGAGACCCCTTAGAGGCATACTGGATCAGGGCAGACTCCCCAGACTCCCAGTCCGCTGTCCTCCGGGCTGTTACGGGTGACAGACAGTTCGCTTTAGGGCACGGAGGTGGTAAAACAGATGGTGTAATGTAGCTGGAGTAGAAATTCCCCATGAAGACCTAGACTCTGAGACATGGCCAAGTCCCCAAGACAAATCCTATGTTCCAGACAGGGTCTAGGACATGCTGTCACTCCCAATGTCCTGGGGGAGTTCCTGTGGTGCACAGGGTGTTTTCAATGACTGTTACTCATACTTCCGGGACAGGAGTCTGGGGACAGCAGAGGCTAGCAGGGGCAGCAGGTCCCAGTCCATCGCTCTGCTCTTGGGACCACCCAGGCCTCAGAAGGGATGTGATCTTATGGCCAGGGTATTGGTGGAGAGACACTTGGGTGGCACTGTGGTCCTGGGTGGCGGTTGCGAGAAAGCCAGGCTCCTTCTCTCTGCCCGTGCACCATCCAGGCTGGTTGTCCCTCTGCAGGTGTCTGTTCCTACTGCATATGGCTCCTGTGGCCAGAGCCCTGGAGGTGGCCTGTTGATTGCCAGGCCCTCACTGACCTTTGTACTGTGGGGTTTTATTAGTGGCCTCCCCACTTTATCAGCTGCTTGCCTTTTATTGCTTCTGATGGGCTGTGTCTCAGCCACTGCTGCCTCTCCTCCTGGATAAATGAGGATTAATATCTTAACAGGATTATGTGCTGTGGGCTCACTGTCTACCCAGGGACATGGGGTGCTTCCTCCTCCCTTCGCTGTCTTCATCTGCCCCAGGCCTTCCTGGCTGGTTTACAGGGAGCACAGTCACAGTTAGGACATCCATGCTTGGTGAGGTGTGTAAGGGTGGCTCATTGTTTCAGACTCTGGGATGGGGTGTGTGGGAGGGATTCGGGGTGTGGGAGGGATGGGTGTGTGGGAGGGATAGGTGTGTGGGAGGGATAGGTGTGTGGGAGGGATGGGTTGTGGGAGGGATGGGTGTGTGGGAGGGATAGGTGTGTGTGGGGGAGAGATGGGGGTGGGTGGGAAGGATGGGTGTGTGGGAGGGATGGGGTGTGTGGGAGGGATGGGGTGTGTGGGGGAGGGATGGGGGCGTGGGAGGGACGGGGCGTGGGAGGAACGGGGATGTGGGAGGGATGGGGTGTGTGGGGGAGGGATGGGAGTGTGTGTGGGGGATGGGTGGGGGGGAAGGCCAGGTTGGACTCTGACTGCAGGATCAGGCTTCTTCAGGGCCAGGACTTGGAGCCTGACCCCGAGGCATGGGGAGTATGCCCACTTCTGTCCTTATTACTCACTGTTAGGACTCTAGGATTTGTGATGGGTCACCATCTTCTCTGCCTCCATCTTCAACTGTGCTTTTCTGAGACAGCATCTCATGTAACTGACAGTGGCCTTGAACCTACTGCAACTGAGGGTGGCACTGAGCATTTGGCCTTCCTGCCTCTCCCTGCTGAGTGCTGAGATTACAGGCATATGCCACCATGTCCAGTTTCACACGGTGGCTTTTCTGCAGTTGTCTTAAGTGACTTGTGAGGAAAGCCATGAGCAGGGTCAGGGACCTTGGTGTCATATAGTATTATTTTAATTATGTGAAGGTGTGTTACATTTGTTTACACTGCAGAATAAATTACTTTAACTACACGAAGGTGTGTTACATTTGTTTTCGTGGCCTTTGTTGATGAGGTAAAGATGGGTTATCCTTGTCTGTGTTGCGTTTGTTTCACCTTGCCTGCCTAAGGCACCTGATTGGTCTAACAAAGAGTTGAGTGAACAATAGTGAGGCAGAAGAGGGAGAGGTGGGGCTGGTGGGCAGATAGAGTAAGTAGGAGGAGGAATCTAGGCTGGGGAGAGAGCACAAAGAGAAGAGAGAAAGAGAAACCGAAAGTCAGGCAGCCAACAGCCAGCCATGTAGACAGCAGGAAAATTAGATAGATAGATAGATAGATAGATAGATAGATAGATAGATAGAAAAAAGGTTAAAAAACCCTGAGATAAAATGTAGATGAAGAGAAACAAGTCACAAGAGCTAGGAAGAAATGCTAAGCTAAGGCTGAGCATTCGTGAGTAATAATAAGTCCAGATGTGAGAATTTATTGACCCAGGAGAAAACCTACTACAACACTGAACCACAGTGGCCTCATCTCGTGTTTTCACTCGCTGACTCATGAGAAGACCTTTTTCCTAACGAGCTCACACCAACAGCTTGAAATCAGCACATGGACACAACTTCTGGGGGCCTCCTGACCTCAGTACTTAGAACAGCCTTTTCCTTCCCAGAAACTTCAGTTCAGGTTTGAGTTCGTGCGCTCTCTGTGACCCCTGTGTCCTGTGTTGGTGATGCAGCTGTCCTGGCTTGGCCTTCGGAGCTGGGGAAGATTGTCAATGCAGTGTGCCCAGTAGGGACCCCCAGGTCTGCTCCCATGGGGGTGCATCTCATGGTGGAGATGCACACTCCAGTATGTCCTGCTTACGCCTGCCATGCTGGCTGGAGCCAGGGGCACATCACATGGGCTCACCCTCTTGAATGTGACAGAAAACCCCAGTCATTTGGTCTGTGGTTGACTTGGGGGTGACCCTGTGGAGCCAGGTCACCCCAGTTGTGGGTTTGAGAGACATGGCCCCTATGTTCCTCTTCTCTTTCCTGACCCACAGATACAGGGTGTGTGTGTGTGTGTGTGTGTGTGTGTGTGTGTGTGTGTGTGAGAGAGAGAGAGAGAGAGAGAGAGAGAGAGAGAGAGAGCTGGTGAGACAGCTCAGCTGGTGAAGATACTTCCTCTAAGCCTGATGAACTGAGTTTGATCCTTGGGACTCACATCACGGGAGGAGAGAAACAATTTCAGTAGGTTACCCTTTGACCTCCACGCACGTGCTCCCCAAACACATGTAAAGAGTAAAAATTAAAAAAAAAAAACAGACAAAATTCAAGGAGCAGGTTCACAGTGGAACTGCATGGTCAATAATGACGTCCACCCCCCCCCCCCCCAACAAGTGCAACCCTCCCTTCATTTCCACAGCCCCACCTGGGGCTGCCACACTGAGGTGGAAGGAGGAAAGAAGTGGGGTACCCTAAAGTGTGTCTGCATCAGCGTTCCCAGCAATATTATTCAGCAGAGTTGACGTGAGGAGGAACCATGGACAGACGGATGAACAGAAGTACAGACACACAGAGCAGACCCATGTGAGACACGAAGCTGAGCCTGCCCTGTGCTGCCTACAAGGGTGTCATGCTGAATGAAACAGCGGGTCATAAAAGGACAAATGCCATTTGATCCCAGTTTAGTTTATTTCCGTGTGCATGTGTTTGTGGTCACATACCTGTGGGCGTGTGTGTGTGTGGGCGTGTGTGTGTGGGCGTTTGTGTGTGTGGGCGTGTATGTGTGCGTGTGTGTGTGCGTGTGTGTGTGCGTGTGTGCGTGTGTGTGCGCATGTGTGTGGGCGCATGTGTGTGCGCATGTGTGCGTGTGTGTGTGGGCGTGGGCGTGTGTGCGCGTGTGCGCATGTGCGTGTGTGTGTGTGTGTGTGTGTGTGTGTGTAGACTGGAGGATAGCCTTGGGTACCAGTCCTCAGTCTGCTTCCCTTTAGACTGACTTCTTGTCATCTCGGAACTCACTGGTTTGTCTAGGTCGACTGGCCAGAGAACCCTAGGGAC